ATAAGTTTTTATTAAAAAAATTAAACTTTTTAATAAAAACACAGGCAAATTTGCCTGTGTTACAATTTAAGGGATAGAATTAAAATAAAATTATTTTAATTAAATTTTATTGATTAGTTATTGAGAAAACATCGCTAGAAGTTTTAAAAACTTTCGAATTTATTAATAGGATCTTCCTATTTTGTGTAACAGATCACATGAGGGGTGAAATTTTTTATGGCGATACGGCCGTCTACGGACACGTATAATATCACGTGATTTGCACGTATCGAAAAATCACGAATTTTCTTAATTTTGGATAAATTTCCTCAACAATTGTCCAATGGAATTCGATAGAAATTTTTTAAAATAAAATTATTCGAATTGACAGAAATTATTTAAAAAAATTTTCATCGAATCCCATTGAGTAATTGTTGAGAAATTTTCATTCAAAGTTAGGGAAAATTTCTGCCGCCTTATTAGAAAATAGCCGCGGCAAAAATTTTTCTAAACTTTGAACGAAAATTTCTCAACACCTACCTGATAGAATTCGATGAACATTTTTTTAAATGAATTCTATAAAATATGAGAATTCACTTAAAAAAATTTCATCAAATTTTAACTAGTAGTTATTAAAAAATTTTCGTTCAAAGTTTAATAAAATTTTTACTGCGGCCATTAAGAGGCAGAATTTCCCAAACTTTGACCGAAAGTTTCTCGACAAATACTCATCAAAATTCGGTAAAATTTTTTTTAAACAAGTTCTACTATTTTATAGAATTCATTTAAAAAAATGTTCAACGAATTCAATCAAGCAGGTGTTGGGAAATTTTCGGTCAAAGTTTAGAAAAATTTTTGCCGCGGCTAAGGCGGCAGAAATTTTCCCTAACTTTGAATAAAAATTTCTCAACAACTACTCAAAGGGATTCGATGAAAATTTTTTAAATAATTTCTACAATTCGAATAATTTTATTTATAAAAATTTCCATCGAATTCCTTTGGACAATTGTTGAGGAAATTTGTCCAAAAGTTAAGAAAATTTGTGATTTTTCGATACGTGCAAATCACGTGATATTATACGTGTCCGTAGACGGTCTGACGGGTTAGATGAAGATCTTTCACGATTGTCACGTGATGGTACCTTTTTACTATTAAAATTAATCGTAAAGACTATATTACGAACAACTATACTTAGTTTATTTTTGGGCCAGCGTTAAGGAAGTTTCTCAAAATAAGGATTACACGACATCTAGCATGTGGCGCACTTCCATTCTAGCTTGGGAATATTGGGGTGCGTCTTAATAAAATTCGGGGCAATTGCACAAAAATTGGCCAAAAAAAAATTTAAGCGGGCAAATTAGCCCGCTTGACGGGTTAAGGGATAAACAAAGAACAATATGTACATAATGGCATGTTATTGAGAATGACAAATTAGCTTATCTCCAATAAGTTTACTAACATTTATGTTATATATAATCATTAAATTTTTTGGATTTCCTGCACCGGTGCAGGAAATTTAAAAACTTCAATATTTCTATGTAGAGATGATGCATAAACTAAGTAGCACATCGTAAATAAATTTCCTAAATTATCGATCTCAATTAGCGAAGGTTGCATAATTATTAACTAACCTTTATTCTATATAAAGTTTTTAGATTTCCTGCACCGTACGTACGTACGTACGTAAGTACGTGCATAAATGCTATCATGTTATACAGTATCACTTTGCTATTTCGGGATGTTATTCATAATTATATTAAAAGATCTCCTAGACGCCTTCCTAAAATGCAACACCTATCTAAATGCAACCTCAAGCTCTGTCCCAAGTATATCTCTGAATCATAAATGCAATTTTTTTAGTGTTCTTTAAATACATGCTATCAAAAGTATGGATCCAACGTGTTGCACCTAGAGAGGTCTGACTGTATTGGCTTCAATGAAGTGTACATGACACTTTGCTAAAATCGATATTTTAAGAAATCAAAGCAATGATCTTCAGAAGTAACGTAACATCAAGAAGCGCACTAAAAATGTATTTTATTGTCGCCGATAATTTAGGAAATATTTTGATTTCAATATGTTACTTATTTTAGTGTAATTTTTCTCTAAAGAATATGAAGTCTAAAAATCTCAATTACATCATATAGAACAAGGCAAATTAATTCATAGGAGATAAATATTCGTTACTAAAAATGGCTTATCTCATATGCAAAAATAATTCTTGGTGTATTACTGGAGCTTTCACTTTAATAAAATCGATAATTAAAATATTTACTTTTGATACGCCACTATGCATTATCTCCTTGCATGTTAGTTTTAATGTCCTGCATTACACACATATTGAATCAATTGATGAAGTTGTGGTCTGCGATATTAAGTGAATTTTGTATTTAAACACAGGTGTTTTCTCCTGCAAAAAAATTAAAATTGTAAACCCCTTCTACTATACGCTTTAAGACTTGAGCGAACTACATTCAGACTTCTCTTTCTTATAAGACTAACAAAAGAATCACCTAGTGAGAAAGTTTGTCAAATGAAGAATCCAAAGTATAGTTCTTATTCTAAGGTCGATGAATCCCTCCTTGTTGGAGGTAAAGTAGATACGGTACTGAAACGAATCTCCTCAGGTGCCGATATTGATGGAAATAATGATATGTTGTTAGGACAGCAAGCAATCTTCACCGAACAACCTGGTCTTGATATGATCAGCGATTTCCAGGGTATCTTGTCACACAATCAATGTATTATTAACACCAACGGAGACGAGGTTTATTTTACAGATGCTGTACCTTATATAAAAACATCAGCACATCCTATGGAAGATGTGACATCTGTAGTATTCTGGCACAATGAAAATGCCGTGTCTGTACAGGTTGATATATATGAGGTTCCAGATGTTAAACCAAGTAAACATCCTAATGTATTGCATCATGATACTATGGAAATTAATTTAGGAAGCAACACAGAACGTAATAGGCTGATCCGCATAATCTTATTTGGTAAAGCGGTACATAGATATGATACAAACATGTTCTCTAAAATGTGCGAACTTATTCAGGATTATGTCGTCTCTGTCAAGAACCAATCTCCTGAGACTAGAAAATGTCTTATTATTGGTATTAATGTCGATGAAGCATTAGATGCCAATTATGATTTTGATATAACATTAGATATCTATTGGAATGTTAAGAATATCTGTATGTGGCCTAAATGCATTAGAAGTGATGGTATTTGCTATATTATATCTCAAAAAACATTAGGATTAGAAGATATGGAAAGTCAAATAATCACCAAACCTCAGGAAGAGGATCATATTAAGAAAGCTATATATGATACTGCAGTAAATGCCTCAATTACCCAGATAATACAGGATTATCATCCACAATCCAGCATATCTCTTCAGATGGCAGAACACGCTAAATGGGCTATGTCGATTGGTATTTCACTTGTGCTGGAAACGTGCGGTATCGAGGTTAGGGATAAACCTTTTGAGATGATAGATATCACTATACCAGATCAAGTATACAAGCTCAAAACAACATTAATAGGTAAAGGAGATGGCGTACCTATGATGACTTCAAAAGCTTGGAATGTTATGTTTCCACTTGATAGTCTAAAGGGTATATCAAGAAGCCCGATGTCTATTGCCAACAGTATAGTTTACAATAACATAGTGTATGGTAATGAGGTGGGTAGGTTAATGGGACCAGTAGATAATTTATTTTTTTACGACTATGCGGTTGAAAGCAGAGATAAGGATGTCAACGCATGGTTTTCTGGTGCTAGAAATAAGATAGCACTCTTATTTAAATACATGACACCATTACAGGCAACAAGCACATTGGGGAATGTCATGGCTTATGAGATGATTAAAGCCAAATGCAGAGTAGAAGAAGCAAGTAGACGCTACTCTCAAATAAATGAAAAAATGGCTGTATGGAAGGATTTGAGAGCTATGTTACATTACAGAGTTGTTGATGCTGCTTTCCTTAAGATAGTGCCATATACTATGTTGACCGTTGATGAAATGGATATCATCGGATTTGCCACGGTGTTACATGACATGGTTGATTTTGGATATGATGTAAGCGTCAAGGAATCGAGCAATACATTCTTAACTATAACGAACGGTAAGGTAGACATGGATTCTGCAAAAAAGGGATATATTCGCATGGCAAATGGACTACAATACATCATAGAAAGATACAAATATGATGCATGTGGGTTGACATTCTTATCTACTCACTTCTGGCAACTAGCTAATGGACGTCATCGAGTTATTCCATCGATTTATAATGGCGCGACTAACTATCAGCATGAGTATTTGGAATTTAAAGGTACATTGCTGGATGTATTGCAAGATAATAATATTATTAAGAAAGATAGCATCAGTGCATTGGAAGCTGCAAATAACCTTAGAGATGCTGCTTTATCACTAGGATATGATGCTATAGCAATAGCCAAACTCATCACCATAGATATTGCTGGTAGTTATACTGGCGATATTGAAATGTCCCCCCAAGCCATAAATGAGATCGAACGTAAAATGTGTGAATTATCAGTATCCCTTTCAATTGGATGCGATGCTGATGGCAAGATGACTTCCTTTTTATGGATGATAGTGGAGTATATGTGGTTGAAAACGGGCATGATGTTATCTTGCTTGCTTGGCACAGTGAAGATTATGCACAACAGAAGACAATCGGATGATAGAGGTGGGTTACAATATAAATGGTAACTAGAAGGGCTGGGTATTGTAATAACCCGAATTTGGGATGTGCCAACATTTTTATTATTATTATTTTATTATTACGTAGCCTTTTTCTATTTTTGTATATTCTATTATTAGCGTTAGTGTATCTTTGCTATTTTCGAATCCATTTCGTCGAATTTTAGTCTGTAAAAATGCATTATATAAAGAGCCTTTGGCTCGTTTGAAATAAAAATAGCTCATTAAAGCTTTAAACTTCGAAATCATCGTAGTAGAAGTTGTTCCTTTAATTACTCGTTCTTTCTGACCCAAAATCGCTTAAGTAAAAACAATTCCTGTCCCAGTAGTAATTTAGAAGTAGTGTTGTTCGTAAAAGTAAAAAGAACCCACATACGTATAAACTATCTTTATATAGTAAACATCCAAATACCCCTAAGACCTATTGTTATCGTCAATTTATTAGAAGATCTTCGAAATTACCCGTGACTTACTAAGCTCGTGACATCATCGATCGATTGAAGATCCGATTTCCGACATCTTTTGCCCGTGACGTCGATCTTAGATTCAAATAACTCCTACAGGCAGATCCCAAAATTACGGGTCGGAAACTTCGGAACTCTGGTCGGAAGGGCCGGAGTTGTTCAAATTTGCCCCAAGATCACTAAGAATTTTACTAATGAAACAATGGTCGTTTATTAAGTGAAAAGTGCCCAGCTGATAATTTTACTATAGCCTATAGCTACCGCTAACCCTAACTCAGCCCTAAACCCGACCCTAACCACGTCGCATTCTGGCCATTCCGACCCGGAATTTTGGGAGAAAATGATTAAAATACTTTAGATCACCGCTTATACACTCGGATAATTAAAGATCCGATCCAGATATATCTCGGCCCGTGACATAAATATAAGTATCTCAGATCCAAATCGAATATTAAATCTCCGGCGGCAGCCAGTAGCCGTGGCAACATAACACGTGACCCCGAAAGTTCGAAATAGAAGTATTGAAGTAGTTAGTATTGATAATTGAAGACACAATAAAGACATATTATAAGCTCCAAATCACTAGCAGACTTATCTGAACCCGGAAACATCACCATAAGGCCTCACAAGCTCTAGAACTCGGACCAAGTCTTTCCACGCCTCTATTCGAAGCCTACCGCTTTAGGGCTTTGGTCTTGTTTAGTGGTTATTTGAGTGATTGGTTAGATTGTGTAGAGTTGTAGGATAGTTGGATAGTTAGTTTTAGTATATATCCCGGTAGCCAGCACCTTCTCAATGTGCGTATATATATTTCGGTTAAATAAATATCCGCCAAATACTTTTTTTTATAATGATAATAGTAATCAGATTGGAGCCATGGCTCTTGCCGGCTCGGCTAAAAAATGACTCGGCTCAGCTAGAAAGCAGCCCAACTCCATTGTGCTTGAGCCGTAGCTAGCCGTTTGCATCATTACCCGTGACTTAGTTTGTTCTTTTTTAAGTATCATACGATAGACATCAGGAGATATAATAGTCCGATGGGTTATTGTTGGCCCTCGGTTGTGAGTTTGCCAAAAATTGTAGTGGGATTGATTTGCAGGAATAATGTAGGGAGATATGGAGGTTTTTCTCGACACATGCTGTTCACGGTCCGCGTACAACATTGTGAAGCAGCATTGTGAGTACAAAGAACCTTGAAAGAATGTAGAGTAGTAGTATATAATGAAGTAAACAAATGGTTAGTGAATACTATCGTGTTTGATTGTCATTAAATAAAACCCAATTGCTTTATTATCGTAACCTCTAATTGTTTTCTTTCGAATCGATATTTTATTATCATTACACTTAAATATCGTTATTATTACCCTACATTACATAGCCACCTGTCGTCCTTATTGATTAATTACATCATCAACGTAATAGCTAAATTGATCCAACTCTGATCCCAATTAAATTAATTTCGTGATATTATATGGACATGTAATCGAGAATAAGCGACCCAGTTCTAATAAATATAAGTTCAATTTTACTATTTGAGCTAAATTGGGCCTTATTACCTATGATCGCTCTCCTAATAATAGTAACAATATCTAGAATTCATGCCTGCATATGGCCCCAAAAAGGAAATATCGTTCGGGAAATACTATATAATCATAGTAAAATATTCATTAATACATAATAATAATAATAATGTCTTTATCACCAAGAGAGATGCCTGATGTTGCAACTTTAGTTCAATTTTAAATTCATGCTATTCCTTGAACACTGAAAATATTTGTAATTTAAGAAACTATAAAAAAAAACTTGAAATTCCTTTACGTTAAATTTTAGCGAATTCTATTAAATTCTAACAAGGTTTGTAATTACTAGTTAAGTTTTTACTTTGATGGAGTAAATTCATTCATTTAATTTATAATTTATTTGATTAATGTCATTTAATCTTTTTTTTTTCTCAAAAATTCTATAGATATACGAGCTTACTTTTTTAACAAGGAGCTATCAAAATGGTTAAACAAGAAATTCTCTCAATATTAATACTTCTTTTATTCAGCACGAGCTGTTCGGTTGCTATTTTTGACTTACCTTCTCTTGAAATGATTCCCACAGTAGTTGGAAATTATGGTAAATTTTAATTAAGTAGGGACAAAATGTAGCACGGATAATATTTACTCTAAATCAATTGATTTAGAGTATCAGCTATCAGCTATATTTCATTTTATTCTAGAATAACATTAATGTGTTGATTAAAAACAACACACTCATAATAATATAATTCTCTTTAACAATAGAATTTCCTAAAGGTATTAAAATTGCAAAAAATATCACACCTCCAGCTGGTCATGTGTTTAAGTTTTATTTAATCGTTAGTGGATATAGCTGGCATAGATGCGTTAATAAGACATGGATATTTGGTAGTATATTGTACAGATTTTATAAGCGTTTTCGCGTAATATAAGTAGTTATGCTAACTATATCAGATATAATTTAAATATTAGAGGAAAGTCGTGGGTTATTTTTTAATAATGACGAAGATATACATTACTATCCTCTTTCAACTTCGGCTTCTACATTTAAAAATGATGGTATGTGATAATTTTAATTATTAATAAATATTGTTTATTCAAAATTAAGGATGGTAAAAAATATGCATAATTCTGTATAACAATCATAGATAACATTTATTTTATTTTAATTATTATTAATTAGCCGTATCAGGTGGTGAAATTTCACTTGGTGTTAAATCAATTATTCCAGAATACCTCACAACTGTTTACAACTGCAATAAATGCCATACCACAACCTGATTCAAATGATATTCCTCATGGACTTGAACAAACTAGTGTAATTATCATAGCTTTATTATAAGGTTTTTTATAAAAGTTTTTTTTAATAATGTGATAATATACTGTAACTTTTAAAATAAATAGAAAAATTCAGTAAAAGGGGCATTTGAGGATGTTACCTATATTGTTCGTCCTAAAATTAAAGGTGGAAATGCTCCTACAATACCATGTAAGTTAATAATAAAATATTTTTATTTGTTAATTATTGTTAATTAAATCTTTTTTCTTTGCTAGGTGGCAATGAACAATATCCAGAAGGATTTATTCATTCCAGACCATTTATCGTATATAATTTATTCTACCACCCTGAGAAAAGAATCTAATGTCTTTATACATCATTAGTCATTATTGCCAAATCCTCTTTGTTAGTTAAGTTATATTTTAACGGCTATATTTCATTACCAAAAGTATATGACATCGTGAAGGAACCATTTTTTTTCGTTTAAAATAAAATTTAATAACTAGTCATTTCAACATTTAAAGAGCGTTGTTCTGTTCTGCTGTGTTGACTTTGAAAAAATAAAATACAATATAAATTATATTAAATATAATACCAAATAATTATAATTTTTTAAATAGCAATTTATATAACTTTCTTCTAACAAAAAAATTTCTTGCAACATTTTGTACAAACCATATCTCACTCCAATCCCAAACCCACCCTTTAAATTTTATTTGTAAAATTGGTTTATTGGCATGTTGCCGTAAATAAAAAGATTAATAAAATTAATAGCCGTAAATCATTCACCCGCCGCACAATTGTGAATTCTCTTTTTAGATACATGCCAAACTTCATAATCTTCTATAAGAAGAGTTGAATTTAGTGATATAAAGTTTTTTAAATTGGGATAAATATTAGAATTAGAAATATGTAAGTGTTTTGAATTAATATACATGTCAAAATTATTCTTATTACAACCAAAGCATGGACCGTATTCTGAATGATATTCTGAAACCCAACTATTCTTTTTAACGCGTGCCAATTTGGAAGTACTAAAATCATTTTGACTATCAAAAGAAAATAAAAAATTTTTTCTTGATACTATTCTCTCAATAAAATGATTTTCTGTATTTGAATCATTATAACCACCAAAAATGCGTTGATCAGATGTTTTTATAATTGTTAATGTTGAACCTTTATTGTCACATGAATCATGAAACTCCTTTGCATTAAAATCTTTTTCATTTCCACGATAAAGAAGAATAAAATCATAAAGGTTATTGTTTGAAAAGTGAGTTGGTCTTGTGTTTAAAGTTATTTCTTTAAAATGTTTTTTCTTCTCATTTATATCATTTGAATTAAATAATTTGTGAATAAAGGATTTGTTTTTTTGATTAACTTCTTCAATCCAACTTTCAAAAATTTTAAAGTGTCGTGGTTTAAGAAGGAACGTACATGGTAAAAATCTTTTTTGTGAATAAGCTTTCATTTCCTCTGATGATAAATTAGGATCAAGATGATAATCTACAATACTTTGATATAAATTATCTGGTAAGACATTTTCTAAAAAGGACCGAATTTTATTAAAGTCTTTTGCAGGTATCGTAAACCAACGAATTAGGCGAATAAAATCATGAATGACCTCCTCAAAAATCTCAAATTCTTGAATTGTCCAGGTCATTTTGCTTTTTCGAGAGGTTTCTTCGTTTTGTGCAGTGCCCCATCTAATTAAATAGTCACAAATATTTTTCTCATTTAATTTTCCCATATCATCACGTTCCAATATATGACTTAAAATGGAACGATTCAATTGAATCAAGTCAGGGTTATCAAATAATGCATTGGGATTGAGACATATAAGATAAATACTGTATTCACGGAATGATTTACATATATCATATTTAAAAACCATTTCTAATACACCAACTGCGTCATTTTGAAGAAGATTTTCTAAATTTTGTTCTATAAAAGTTGACATGTCGGAAAATAAATTTTGAAGTTGCAAGTTATTAGCTTCTATAACTATATGCAATATTTCAGCACCATGAAATTTAATCACTATAAGGTTAAAGTTTGTATTTGAAAATAGATTATTCACTATTATTTCATTTTGTAGCTTATTAGCTGTATTCATAAATTGTAAAAATTGTTCAATATTCAATTTGTCGAGGATAATTTTAATAAAATCATCACTCATTAACAAATCATCAATTGTTTTTCTAAATTTCGTATTGTTTGGCATTCTCATGAGATTTAAAATATTATTCGCATTAAATTTGTGTAGGATATTGTTGATAAATGTCTTATTTGATAATATATTAGCAATTGCTTTTTGAATTATTAACTCCTCAGTCTTTTCTATAATTTCTAACACTTGTGCACCATTTAATTTTGCTAAGATGGCCTCTACAATGTCATTTTTTGATAAGATATCATTAATAGCATTTTGAATCTTTAATTCATTAATCATCATCAATTTTAAAACTTCTCCGCCATTCAGCTTTCTCAAAGTTGTTTCAACAAAATTACTAGGTAATAATAGATAATCGAGAATAACTTCAAGATCCATCTTGTTTGCTGCTACAGTAAGCATTAATATGTTGGCTCCATTCAATCTTTCAACATCAAATTCAGTAGTATATAAATATCTTTAAATTAAATATAATTTGCATATAATTAATAATAGTTACTTTGTATAATATAATGCATATATTAATTTAAATAATTACTAAACATACCTTAAAATTACTTCAAAGACAATTGTAGAAATATCTTGAATTGGAAAAATAAAAGGACTTTCATCTTTTTCATCTTTTTTAATATTAGAAAGGGCAGTTTTGAAATAAGAGGAACATGCACTTAAGATTAGTGAGTGTGCGTAAAAATCTTTGAAATCAATATCTTTGCTAACACGAATGATGACATCATATTGTTCATTAATTTGAAGTAGCCTTTTAT